CAGATGTCCGTCAACTGATGAATGGATAATCAAAATGTGGTGCTTCCATGGATAGAGAGGACAGATGAGTGGTTTTCAGAGGGGAAGTGGGTGGGGGGAGGGTGAAAGGGGTAAAGGGCACATATGTATGGTGAGGGATAAAAACTAGACTATTGATGGTGAGCACGATGCAGTCTGTACAGAAACTGATATATGATAATGTACACCTGAAATTACACAATGTTATAAACCAATACGACCTCAATAAAAAAAAAAACGTGGGGGCCGGGGCATAAAACTGGGGGCATAAAAACCACTGGGGCGTAGTGGTTAAGTTTGTGCGCTCCACTTCGGCAGCCCGGGGTTCACGGATTTGGCTCCTGGGCACAGACCTACACCACTCATCAAGCCATGCTATGGCAATGACCAACATACAAAATAGAGGAAGATTGGCACAGGTGTTAGCTCGGGGCGAATCTTCCTAACCAAAAAAAGAAAATGTGGTGTTTCAATACAATGAAATATTCAGCAATAAAAAGAAATGAAGTGCTGATACATATTACAGTGTGGATGAACTTTAAAAAGATTATGCTGGGGCTGACCCAGTGGCGCTGCAGTTAAGTGCGCACACTCCGCTGCAGCGGCCCAGGGTTCGCAGGTTCGGATCCTGAGCGCGCACCAATGCACCACTTGTCAAGCCATGCTGTGGCAGCGTCCCATATAAAGTGGAGGAAGATGTGCATGGATGTTAGCCCAGGGCCCATCTTCCTCAGCAAAAAGAGGAAGATTGGCATTGAATGTTAGCTCAGGGCTGGTCTTCCTCACGAAAAAAAAAAAAAAAGATTATGCTAAGTAAAAGAAGCCAGATATAAAAGACCACATATTATATGATTCCATTTATATGAAATGTCCAGAATAGGCAAATTTATATAGACAGAAAGTAGATTGGTGTTTGCTTAGGGCTGGGGAAGGGAAGGGGTTAATGGCAAGTGACTGCTAAGGGGTATAGGGTTTCTTTTAGTTGAGAAGAAAATGGCCTAGAATTAGATTGTGGTGATAGTTGCACAACTCTGTGGATGTGCCAAAAACCTTTGATTTATACACTTTCAGTGGGTGAGTTGTATTGTATGTGAGTTATATCTTAATGAAGCTATTTTTTTAAAATATGGAGCACAGGGCCTGTGTTCAAGGTGCTGCCCTAACCGCTGGGAAGATGAAAAGATGCGTCAGAAGCAATCTGTGCTCTGGCTTCAGTAGGTTAAATGAAAGCATTTGGTGTGGCAGCAGATTATAAAGAAAACAATAGTTAGAGCAGCAGAGTAGGTTTTATGGAGAGAGCAGGATGATGTCTGAAAGATGAAGTTGGAGAGGTTGATGGGGGTTGTACTGTGGAAGAAATTAAAAGCCACATTAAAGAGTTTAGATTATATCCTATGGAGAGTAGACAGCCACTGAAAAGTTTTGCTGATGGAAAGGATATGAATAGAACTGGGTTTTAGGAAGAAACCTCTAGTGGCATTTAAGAGGGAGAGACTCTGGGTAGGGAGATAAACAGTAAGCAGATGGCAGAGTCCTGATAAGACCTGTGGAGGAGCTGAGCTAGGGTGGTAGTTATGGAGAGAATGGGACAAGTTCAAGGGCATTAGGAAGGCTGAATTGACAAGACACACTGACTGATCAGATTGGGGACCTCAGGAACAGGAGGCTAACAAATGCCCCTGAAGTCCCGAGAAGACGACTGCGGGGAGAAAATCAGGCTATAGGTCAAGATAAGTGTAGGCTGGGGGTGGGTGGAGGGTGGGGTATTAGCGGAGGAGAGGGATAGTCATGTCTAGGGGCCCCTTTTAGCAGCAACGCTGAGCCTGGTCATTACAAACATCCACAACTGTTAAGTTAGCCCACCCTCTGTTTTTTTGCTGAGCCTGTTCTTGCCTTTGTCTCGTCTGCTTTTCTACTTCCTAATGTGGGGCTTCTGTTTCAGTACCACAATTCTGTTGGTCTCTCCCTTGACTTCTGCCCAGACACCCAGGCCCAGCCTCACTTCACCATACCGTTCCATTCCTTCCCCCGGATCTGATTTTCACCCAGAGCCTCTCTGTGCTGACATTCTCCCCAGTTCCCAAGACAGCCTCTGGCTTGGGTCTTGCTGCACCACCACATATACTGGCAAGCCTGGAGAACTGGGGGTGGGGTGGAGAAGAGGAAGCTGGAAGGGGGCCATGTTGCGGTGCACCATTGCTGGGACCGCCTTGTGGAAATGCCCTGCAGACAACCGGAAGTGTAAATGCAGAGCTTAAAGTGAGGAGAGAGATGGAGACACAGATAAGTAAGATGTTTCTGCTCCCCTTTGCAGCAATATCTACAGAGATTAGATAATAAGAATAATACAAAACAAAGATCCGGGAGGTTCTACCCTGAAGATAATCTGAGCAGAGCTAAAACGACTCAGTCATTTTTCTGAAATGCAAATTCGTTGCCACCTTTACTTCATAAAGTAGTTCAAGCTGCATCTTATGTTCATATTTAGCCCCCTTGGACAACAGCAAGGTGAATGGAATGCAAGGTGGCAGGACTTAATGGACTGTCTTGGAAGTTTTACTGAGACCTTATCTGGAAAGGTCCATGAACACCTGACTGAAGAAATTAACCAAGCACAGTATCACGTTTTTCTCTTAGTATCCAGATCAAGTTGTATCTTACTACATTATCTGCCTTTTACATCAGGGCAACACTGGACAGTTGTGTTGTTCTGAAATAAGTTATTAGTGGTAAAATGGATACAAAACAAAGACTTGGTAATATACTAGCCAAAAAAATTAAGACTGTATTTCATTTTATGTTTTAGATTCTGGTAAGATTATGAAGCGCCAAATTCTTTGATATTCTTGATATTTCTACATTCTTATGTGACATTATTATCTGTTTCATTCCTACACTGTTACTGTTCTGCTTTAATTATTGTCATTTTGGAAGTCTTTCATTGTATTTTTTTTTTAATAGTTTTTTTGTGTGTGTGTGTGAGGAAGATCAGCCCTGAGCTAACATCCATGCTAACCCTCCTCCTTTTTTTCCCCCAAAGCCCCAGTAGATAGTTGTGTGTCATAGCTGCACATCCTTCTAGTTGTTGTATGTGGGACGCGGCCTCAGCATGGCCGGAGAAGCGGTGCGTCAGTGCGCAGGCAGGATCCGAACCCGGGCCGCCCGTAGCGGAGCGCACACTTAACCGCTAAGCCATGGTGCCGGCCCCTTTCCTTGTATTTTTTCTCCAGTTTCCTCTGAATTTGACTCTGGTTGAATTGTGTATGTGTGTGCAGCTTTCACTATGGTTATTTTCTAGATAGTTTGAAATTGTCCTTTTTGAAATTTTTTTCTCTGATCCCAAAGTTGTTAGGAAAATGCTTTTTTCCTTAAGGATTTTTAAATTTATTTAATCTTTTATTATTAATTTCCATTTTTCTTATAATTTGGTCAGAGAATGTAGCCTGCACAATTTCTCCTTTGGAGAATTTATTGAGATTTTTCTGGTATATGACTAGTTTTCAATAAGTGTCTTATAAGCTAAGTCTAATGTTTACTCAAATCCTCTCTATAGTATCTTAATTTTTCCCATTAATCAGTCAAATATAGAGAGAAAATGTGTTACCATTGCCAAGGTCATGTTTTTGCAAGCCAAATCTTTAGTATTGTTTTCTGTAAAACATTGATTTAGTCTTCAAAATAATTTGTATAAAAAAAAGAATATATTCTTGGCTGGACAATTCAGTGATGAATCACTTCTGAACCATAGTGCTAAATTCTTAATTGCAGTCATTGCCTCCAGAGAAAGAAAAATAACAATTAGCTAACAACAAGAAAAATACTCCCTGGAAAGTAATTAAGCATAATAACAAAAAATAAACAAATAAAATGCCCTTTTTAAAAAATAGTCATTGTAAAATTCACCAATCAGAAACAACACATGAAGGATACATTTTAATTTTAAACTAAATTCTTTAATTTAGTTTAAATTCTTTTCACTAAGAATTTTTAGAGTCTAGGCAAGAAAGACAAGGAACTGCTGTGGTGCACTTTCCACACAAATCGTCCTCCTCAAATTGATCCCTCGCAATATTTAGGAGAATAAAGTCATGACCTGGTAGAGTAGAGAAGAGTTCCTTTTCTCCTTTTTGTGAGCAACCTTCACCGTGGAATTTAATGAAAAGGAAATCTATGAAAGGGGAGAAAATATTTGCTAACCATGTATCAGATAAGGGGTTAATATCCAAAATATATAAAGGACTCATCCAACTCAAAACCTAAAAAGCAAATAATCCAATTAAAAAAAAATGGGCGGAGGATGTAAATGGACATTTTTCCAAAGAACACATACAAATGGCCAACAGGTACATGAAAAAGTGCTCAACATCACTAAGCATCAGGGAAATGCAACTCAAACCACCATGAGATATCAGCTCACACCTGTTAGAATGGCTATCATCAAGAAGACAAGAGATAACAAGTGTTGGCAGGGATGTGGAGAAAAGGGAACCCTTGTGCACCCGCTGGTGGGAATGTAAATTGGTGCAGCCACTATGGAAAACGGTATGGAGGTTCCTCAAAGAATTAGAAGTAGAACTACCGTATAATCCAGCAGTCCCACTTCTGGATCTGTAGCCAAAGGAGATGGAAACAGGATATCAAAGAGGTGTCTGCACTCCCATGTTCATTGCAGCGTTACTCACAATAGCCAAGACATGGAAACAACCTAAGTGTGAATCAACGGATGAATGGATAAAGAAGATTTGGGGTATATATATATATATATATGGAATATGGAATTTTATTCATCCATGAGAAAGTAGGAGATCCTGCCATTTGTGACAACATGGATGGACCTGAGAGCATTATGCTAAGTGAGATATTCTGATGGAGAAAGATAAATACTGTATCATCTCATTTATATGTGGAATCTAAAGGAGCCAAGCTTTCTAAAAGAGAGTAGAACAGTGATTTTCAAGGGCTGGGGATGGGGGTGAGAATTGAGGAGATGTTGTTTAAGGGTACAAACTTACAACTAATAGATAAATAGGTCTTAGAGATCTAACACACAGCATAGAGATTATAATCAACTGTATTATAAACTTCAAAGTTGCTAAGAGACTAGATCTTAATTGTTCTCACCACAAAAAAGAAATGATAATTATATGATGTGATAGAAGTGTTAGCTAATGCGATTACAGTGGTAATCATATTGCAATATATAAATATGTCAAATCAACACATTGCACACCTTAAACTTACACAATGTTATATGTCAATTATATCTCAATTAAAATATATATATTAACCTCTGGTTTTGCTAACATGCCCTTTAAGTCATTTCTATGGACTTGAAACCAATTGTGATTCTTAAATCTATTTTAAATTATGAAATTACTACAACATTATATAAAATTTGGAAAATAGAGAAAAACAGACCAGCACCCTAATACAAGTGTTATTTCACGTGTTGATTTATTATCTTGTAGTGTTTTTTTTCTATGCCCCAGTTTTCTTATATTACTGAAATATTAGAATATAAATTAGTTTGTATTTTACTTAGTGGCAAATGGTATTGTTACAGTTTTCATAGCCATTTTTAATAGTAACAAAAAGAAAACACTGGGTGCATTATCGTAATTAACTCTTCCCATATTTGTTGGATATTTAGATTGTTTTTAATTTCCGATAATGCTGCTATTTCATCTTCAGGCATATGGAGTTCTTTCACGGTTTGTAAAATTTCCTTGAATTAAGTTCTTAAAGGTTGAATTAGCGAACCAAAGAGAATGAACATTTCCATGATATCTACGTATTTAATAAATATTTGTTGATGAATGAATGAATATAAAGGAGGTTCTTTAAGGCTCCTGGATTTTAGGTCGTTCTTGGAAAATACCTCGCTACTTGTAATGATCAGAAAACAGAATCCACTCTAGATTAAACAGAAAGGAGTTTATTACAAGGAATATGGCTGCATACAAAACTGGAAGGGTCAGGGAGTAATGTTTGATGTTAATAGTCAAGAATAACACAATCAGGAGACATGCCCAACCACACCTTCAGGACTGTTCTGGCAAAACCTCACTGCTGCCAAGACCCACTACTCAATGTAAGATGCTAGGGACAGAACAACTACCCCCAGAATATTCTATTTCTCCGTCTGTTACTCTCGCTTCATGTTGCTCATTTCCACCTAGCAAGACTCACATCAGTGTGTCTGCTTTACTGGATCATAGGTAGAACCCTAACTGCTAGAGAGCTTGGGAAATGTTATTTCTATATTTCCAGCTTCAGTATTACGAGAACACATCATAAAAGGCACTTGGAGAGGGTGTTCAGAGAGCCAGTCAGTAGTATCTGCCACAAACTTATAAAGGAGGAAGGGAGGGAGGAAGAAAGAGAGAGAAAGATGGAGGGAGGGAAAAAAGAAAAGCTTTTTTCTTTTATGACTCCTACAGCTTTACTGTTACTTAGATTCTTTTTTTTTTTTTTTTGTGAGGAAGATCAGCCCTGAGCTAACATCCATGCTAATCCTCCTCTTTTTGCTGAGGAAGACCGGCTCTGAACTAACATCTATTGCCAATCCTCCTTTTTTTTTTCCCCAAAGCCCCAGTAGATAGTTGTATGTCGTAGTTGCACATCCTTCTAGTTGCTGTATGTGGGACGTGGCCTCAGCATGGCTGGAGAAGCGATGCGTCGTGCACGCCCGGGATCCGAACCCGGGCCGCCAGCAGTGGAGCGCACGCACTTAACCGCTAAGCCACGGGGCCGGCCCCTACACTTAGATTCTTAATCCAACTTGAATTTGTTTTGTGTATGGTGATGGGGTGGGGATCTGACTTTATTTTGTCCAAAGCCAATTGTTTCTTTACAAATTATTAAATAATCTATTATTTTTCTACTGATTGCCTACTTTTTCAGATATTAAATTTGAATTCTGCAATCTCTGGTCTTTTCCATTGGTTTATTTGTGTAAATCTTGAGTACCAAAAATTTTTCCTTTAAAATACATTTTTTTGTTATTATTTAAGACTAATCTTTTTTTCTCAGATGAAGTTTAGAATCAGCTTGTCAACTTTGGTTTTGTCTTGTTTTTTATTCCATTTGGGGGTTGAATTGGAAGTGCAATGAGTTTTATATTCATTTAGAGAGAAGTGACATCTTTACCATATGGAATCTTCCCTTCTAGTAACATGGTAGTTCTCTCCGTTTGTCCAAGTCTTCTTTTATGCCATATGGTTTTCTCTATCTAGAATTGGCAAGTTGCTTGTTATTTATTTCTGTGTTTTTCATAGTTTTTGTTGCTGTAGTAAATTTGATCCTTTTGCCATATCACTTTCTAATATTTATTCCTGCATATATAGGCATGTTATTGTTTTGTATATATTTACCTCATGCCAGCCATCTTATTAATTCTGCTTTTCACTTGATTCTCTTGCATTTTCTATGTGGACAACTGTCACCTACTTATTATGCTAATTTTGTCCTGTGCCTATTGCCTATGTGCCAAATCCACTGCAGTACTTTTGTAAATAAAGTTTTATTGGTACTAGCCATGCTTGTTTGTTTACTGTTGTCCACAGCAACTTTTTCCCTACAACAGTAGATTTGAGTAGTTGTGACAGAGACCATATGACCTGCAAAACCTAAAACATTTACTATCTGGCCCTTTTTTAGAAAAAGTTTGCCAGATCCTACCACAGAGTATCTAGAAGTTTGAGATCTGTTTTCCAGACTTTTATTCTCTAAGACCACCCGAACAAATTTAAATAGTAACAATAATGATGTGACTCTTTGACTTGTGTCTAACTTTAATAGGAAGGCTTTCTGTGTTTTACAATTAGAATAATGGTTGCCATTGGTTTCCTGTTATTGAGTTAAGGAAGTTACTGACCATTTCAGCCTTACTAAGAGGTGTCTATCAGGCATGGGTATTGGATTTTACCAGTTGCCTGTTCACCATGCATTGAGATGATCATATGGTCTATCATTTAACATTTTAATTTAGTGAATTACTGTAATATATTTCCTACTGTTGAGCTGTTCTTGTATTCCTGGTTATTGTATATTATACTTTTACCATACTTCTGGAATCAATTTTCTAAAGTTTTATTTGACATTTTCACATCTGTATTTGTAAGTAATATTGATTTGTTGTTTTCTTATTTTCTGACTGCTTTTTTAATAGCAACTTATTTTTGTTACTGTGTCATCACAAATCTCTCTGAAGACATCAATTGGAATTTTTAAAAAATCTCTCTTCTGTTTTTTTCATCAACTCTGTTTCCTCAGGGGTTAACATTTTGGTTTTTAGTCTTGACGCTCCCATGCTCTTGTTTTTCCTTAAATATTTCACAGCCCTTGGTTGTTGATTTATAATTTTAATTAAAGGGCTAGAATAATACAGGGAGGTGGTGTGGTTTACTTGGCAACTGTAACAAGCCTTTTTCTTGACTAGGAGGCTGACAGTAGGTTCTATAGATGAATATGGGAACTGCTAGACAGGCAGCTTAAACCTTTAGTTGGGATAACAGCCAGACTTGTAAGTTTCAGCCTTCCTTGAGTGCTATTTACTGAGGCCAGCAAAGCCTTCTGCTGGAGGTGGAGCGCCTGAGCATTCTCAGTGCATTTCCCTGAACGTGGACATTTCTCTTCCCACTCCCTTCTGATTGAGTGATTGATAGTTGGCTGGTTGGACTGGGATCTGACTGCTAGGGGATGCCTAACTTTCTGAGCACTGCTCTGCTTGGTTTTGTAACTGAGCAAAAAGGGGCTCGTTCTGGGCTCCGCAATCCGATGCCAGTCAATTGCCAACAAGCCAGTAGTTGAGAAAGGAAAATTTATATGATTAGCCAGCATAATCAGAAGATGGTGGACTAGTGTCCAAAAGAACCATCTTAAAATCATACAGAATCTTAAGGCAGTTATATAGGGGAAATGGATAGGGAAGGAGGGGTTTAGGGATGTCGACCATCTGGTGTGACAGACTTCAAGGTGCCTCATTCTCTCTCTCTTCTGTCATTCACAAGGGGCACCAATGCAGAATTTTTCTTTCTGGAGGTCATCATGTTCCTGGGGGACTCAGAAAACAAAGTTTTCGTCTCATCACAGCTGGGAGATATATGTAAGCAAGAGTCATAGAACTAGCAGATCATTTATTTTGTAAAAGAAGGAGGTACTTAATCATCGAGGCTAAGTGCAGGCTAGAATGTATTCACAGAGACTAGTGAGTCAGGGTCATATATAGTTACAATATTGCTTCCTTTCCCTGAGTTGGCTTCCCTCATGCTAACTTAGGATCTAGCTGTTACAGTTTTTTGGAAGCCCAAGACCCACCTTAGAAACCGGTGAGACATTGTTGTCCCACATTATTTAAGGTAAGGGTTCTTGCTGATTTTAGACTGGGGGCGATTGTGGCATCTCTTTGTTCCTTGTGACAGAGAAGTCAAATGGCCCATAGCAGTCAATCCTTTCAATAATTCCTCCTCCAGTTGGGTGTCCCTGGCCTCCCATCCTTGCTGACCCTGAGCTTGGGTGCTTTCCTTGGCTGTGTCTTTGGCAGCCCTCCTCTAGACCCATATTGGACTGCTGTTTCCCTAGCTCTGGTTGTTCAGTCTATACCATCCCTTCTCCTTAACATCTTCCAGAAATTTCTCAACATTTTTGGTCAGTAATGCCATCCTTCCTTGCTTTCTAGACTGTTATGGAGTCATTTCATTGGAATTTTAGGAGAGAGTGTGTATTCACTGCCCACTATTTGGAACCAGAAGTTGTCAGTGCATTTTCAATATTTCTGCCTACTTGCAAGCCCCACTATGTGCCAGTTGTTATGCCAGGGCCTGTCTGTGCTAATCTAGTCCTCACTACAATTTTATCAAGTAGGTTTTCTTATCCCCGTTTTACAGATGAAAAAACTGAAGCTCAACAGGGTTGAGTGAGTCACTCAATCAAGGTCATGAACTAGTTAGCAGTGAACCCAGGTTTGACTCATCCAGTCATCACATTCACACCTAATACGTTTTCTGATGATAGAGCAGGGCTCCAACGTGTACCCCTTAGAATGATGATCGAGGGTCATTTCAAGTTCTTTATTCACTGTTTTTATTTTCTTGATACATGAATTAAATAGAGAATTGGCTTAGTGGTCTGAATAAAACCGACAGAGAACTCTGGAGCACTGTGTTTTCAAGTACACTATTTCCATTCTATTCTTGTTCTTTCTCACAGCCGTAAGAGAGAAGTTTAAAAGGCGGTAGCTGTAGACTGGGTGTGATCCTTTGTAGACTGTTTGGAGAAAAAGATAATTAAATTAAAAGGCTCTCATTTGCCATATATAAAAATAATACCCATAGGAAATTATGTGTAAATATCATTCACAAAGAAATTGAAGAAACTCGTTTAGAGCCGTTAATTATTATCAGGTGTCCGCTGAACTGATAGGCGCCCTTCTGTGCTTCATAAGTGTCCTCACATCTTGACTAGTTTGCTATTAGTGATGCTCTGTAGGCAAGTTAATTTCTATCTGGTTGGCTTATTCAGGGACACAACTTTCTGTATTTTTCATGACAAACGTCTCATAATTATAGTAAAAGAAATTAAATTATTAACCAATGCTGACATTATTATATATTATATATTGTAATGATATAATTACTAATTGTAATTAATAATAAATTAATGATTTTTGCACCTCCTGGTGAGTAGATACAATGCTTAAATTCTCCATAGAAAAAGCATTAGCCTTTTTATGTATTTATTTTTATTTATTTATTTTTTGTGTGAGGAAGATTAGCCATGAGCCAACATCCATCCGTTGCCAATCATCCTCTTTTTGCTGAGGAAGACTGGCCCTGGGCTGATGTCCGTGCCCATCTTCCTCTACTTTATATGAGATGCTCCCACAGCATGGCTTGACAAGCCATGGATCGGTCCTCACCCAGGATCCGAACCTGCGAACCCTGAGCTGCCGAAGCAGAGCACGCAAACTTAGCTGCTCCATCAGGCTGGCTCCAGCCTTAACCTTTTTAAATTAAAATATATATATATATATAACTGTGTCATTATTAATTTTTAATGTTTGTCATCTCTGAATTCTCATCTTTACGTGGCTAAAGACTGACATTTTGGCATTTTTTTATGCACTGAATTTTAACATAAACTGGCCATTTACCAGATTTGTACCCTTACATAATACTTATCTTCTCAGAGCCTGCATTTCTTTGCTTGCAAATAGGGATAATATATTTTGCAGAGCAGTTGAAAGGATGACAAGTGTAGCATATAAGGGGTAGTGGAGTGCTTGACACATGGAAGGTGCTGGAATAGTAGGTGCTATGATCGTTTGTTCCACTTACCTACTGCATAACAAACCACCGAACTAAGTGCTGTAAAACCGATGATTTTATTAAGGTCGTGGATTCTGTGGGTCAGGAATTCGGACAGGCCACAGCAGGGCTGGCTTTTCTCCGCTCCATGATGTCTGTGACCTCAGCTGGGAAGACTTGAACAGCTGGGGGTGACCCACACAGCTGGAAACTAGGCTCATTTGGAGGATTTTTCCCCTACCTGCCTGGCCCCTGGACTGGGCTGGGACTGGTGACTGGAGTGCCTCCTGTGGCCCCCCCCCAGGTCGCTCTTGCTTCTCACAGTGTGGCACCTGGAGTCCTAGAAGGAATGTCTGGAAGGAGTTCTGCGACGCCCGGGGGGATGGCCTTTAATGGCCTACCCTCCAAAGCCACTTAGTATTACTTCCATTATGCTGCTTCTGTCAAAGCACTCAAAACCTGGTCAGATTCAAGGGCAGGGGACATGGACCACAGGTCTTGATGAGAGAAGTGTCAAAGAACTGGAGGCCCTGTTTAATGCCACCAGCCATCATTGTTGTTATAATTATTATACTGTGAATATGCTTCTTGGATACGAATAAGGAAAGTGCTTCGTAGTCCTACAGGATTTGAGTGACTATTTATTTCAAGAGGTTATACAGTTACCCAGGGCAGGAAGGTTAATAGTAAGAATGAGCCTGATTCCCCAATACGCAGATTAAACACCAGATTCTTTTTCATTCCGTACCTTTAAGCAATAAAAATATATGATCATTTTTAGTGCATTTTTGACATTGAGATAATGGAGGGTGTGGGGAGTGCCTTCTTTCCTGTGTTTGACCTAAAACAAAAGCCATTTTTGTCTTGACTAAAAGTTTTGGTTCTCATAATCCCTTTACACTCTGCACTTGCCTGTGCATTTTTTAAAAATTTTTTTGGGCTTGCCATCTACTTGTAGAACAGTGGTTCTCAAACTCTAGTGTGCAATAAAATCACATGAAAGGATGGTGAAAACACAGATTATTTGTCTCCACCCCTAGAGTTTCTGATTCAGTAATTTTGGAGTGGGGCCCAAGAATTTGCATTTCC